ACTTCATCGAAACGTTGCCTAGATACTTCAAATCTTACGCGGGAGAAAACCCGAACAACCAAAGATCTACATATAAATACCCGCGAGAACCTCAGAAAACACATATATATATATATATATATATCTTTCTCTATTATCTTTTTTCCCTAATTCAACATCGTAAGTTAGATCATAAGTTCATTTTTTTCTGTTTCATACAAAAAATTCACAAGAATTAATGTACATAGTGTTTTTTTTTCTTTTTTCAAATATTTTGTTCCTTAATTTAGCTATCTCTGCACATTTCAACTTCTTCAGCAACCATTCTCCCTTATGGATACGTTTTTTCACTTTTGTGAATATAATAACTTTGCTCTACTTATCATATATAAAAACAAAGTTACATGACTTTTTTCTCATTTGTCCACCAATCCTAAAAATAAATCCTCCAGTTTCAATTTGTATCTGTTGCAGTTTTTAATGTTCCCTGCTGACACCTCCATTTGAACCTTTTCTAAAACATCTTTAAATCTTTCTAAAAACTTTCTCGCCTTCTGAATAGAATTCAATCAAAATCTTGGCTTTTTGAAAGTAAATATCACTCCTTCTAGATTATCCTATCTAAATGAGGGGGTTTTTTGCATGTAAACTTTAAATCAAAAAAATCCCAACTTTCTATTCAATAAAATTCTAATATCAATTTCTTTATCCTAAAGAAATATCTGCATTACCCATTTTCAATCTTGTATTCAATCTTGTATTATTTTCTTCTCAATCCAAAAAGTTTGTTAAGCTTTAATGATCTTTTATCTAATATCTTCATCTGAGTTTTCTGGAATTCCTCTAAAAATCTCAAGCACAATTCTTCCTCTCGATTTCAATAGGGCCATATTATTCAATTCGCTTTCTAATTCTCTATATATAACATCATCTTTAAAATTTCCATTTCCTATTAATCTGTTTTATTTCTCCAAACATTTGTTTTACAGAACTTATCCAACTTACTACATATTGTCTGAAGCAAATTTGGTGTCTTTCTCTTGTCTGCAGGTTGCTCTTCCAATCTGCTCCTTCCTTCCCTCCTTGAAGATTTTCTCCTTGTTGCCAATTTGATATTATAGTCTAAAGATAGAAGTAATTCTGGCAGAGGAAAGAAACAAACTTCCTCTCTTTTTTTTCTCTTTTATCTTTCTATGCCTTTAACACTTTCATCTCTGATGACACATTCCACAGTTTCAAACCACATCACATTCCACGTCTCCATAGCAACGAAGTATCAGTGTCTGGATCATATTACCTTACCTTTTGTTTGGTAAAATCCACCAATTTCTTGCATTATTTAGATGTGAAAAGAAAGCATTCCCACAAACGTCTAGTCCATTTGTCTAGTTTAATTCCAGTTTATACGTACCTTCACCAAAAATAAAAATAGTGAAAATAAAATGTTACTGTATGCTTTGTCCGTTTTAAACTTTCTGTGGTCATCTGATGGTTTTTTTACCCAAGAATCTTGAATTGTTAAAATCTTAAAAGTCTTTTTGTATTTTTTTAATCCAGAAAAATGATATATTGACTAAGAAGTGTCTATCTTGCTGCAAAGGAAATTTCTGTTTATCTATAGCTTAATTAAATCCAAAGTAGCTAAAATGGGAATGGCTGGATCTATATAGGCTATACTGTAGTTGTGTGGGAAAATGGAATTCCACGACCCCAGCCACTTGCTGCTGTATATTATATTCATACAATGCACACAAAGGCATATAATTCCTGTGTCACAAGATTGTTCCCAAAAGCTTTTGCATATAAGTGTGTGACACTTTATGGTGCCACTTGGTTTTGCTGCATCAATACAACTGCTATTCCAGAAATAATTTCAATGTTTCTAGAAATGATTTTAATGTTTAATGACCCTTCTAGGTTTCGTGAAAAATATCAAGCAATTATTTTGTCCTGTCACCTTGGAGCAACTGGTTATTTAAATGAAAAAAAATTCCTTTGGGCTGTGCAAATAATTTGTGTGTACAGTAATTTTCTTGAAAAGAGAGTTAGAGTATTTTACATATATTTCACATTTCACATTCATTTATGATGATGGTGGTGGTGATTTCCTTGTTTGTGTTGGGTGGGGTTTTTTGCCATTTTATTATGACTGTGTTCCCTCTTTCTCTTCAAGCAACATACATATAAATTTATATTGTTTCTGACGGTTTAAAATGTTATATCCTTATTAACCTTTAAATTTATGTTATAAATGAGCCTGGCGGAACCTCACTGTGCAGTGATTTAGGGGACATTTGAGAGGATGCTCTTCCCTGATAACTAGCATTAGTAGTTATTCTGTATTCATTATCAGATTATATGATTTCAAAGAAAAGTTGTTAAGTTATCACTTAGGGTGTTCCTGGAGAGCTGAAAATTACAGCGTTAATGCCCTTTAGTAAAGCTGTTAGAAAAGGACAGAGCGGAAAATAACTTCTCTTTTTCCACTTTGCAGCATCCTGAAGTCCATGGAGTTTGCGCCATCTGATGGCTCAAGCATCCAGGTAATTCATTCGATTTTCTGATAGAGCAAAGCTGGGTAGATTTTTTAAAATGTTTGCTTGGATTGAGAATTTGCTATTCAAATGTAGTAAGAGTTTGTAGGAGTTGTGAACAATCAGAGCTGCTATTCTTTTTCTTTTACGAAAAAATCATACTTTTTCTGTTAGCTGGTATTCACAGTGTGGCTGCTGTTTTCTTTCTGGTATTGGATATTGGTACGTTTAAGCTGCCCAGAGTTGCTTTGAAATGAGATGGGTGGCAAATAAGTTTAATTAATAAATAAATATTACAAAGGAAAATCATGCAGAAATAAAAACAAGAATTGCAAGTGGGAACTTGTGGTCTAGAACTTCCCTAAATCACAAGCTCCTTCAATGACTATGGGTTTATAAGATGGATCAGTCCCAATAGTAGTTTGATTGTCACTTATGAAACCTTGGGCTCACCGGCTCCTCCATGAATACCACAGTAGCACCCCAACTGGTGAGGATTTGATCATCATCACAAATCATTTGTGGAAAGATTCAACAGGCACCCACCTACGTATGAGCCTTGGTGGCGCAGTGATTAGAGTGCGGTACTGGGGGCTACTTCTGCTGACTGCTGGCTGACTGCAATTTGGCAGTTCGAATCTTACCGGGCTCAAGTCAACACTCAGCCTTCCAGCCTTCTGAGTTGGGTAAAATGAGGACCCATATTATTGGGGGCAATATGATGACTCTGTAACTGCTTAGAGAGGGCTGTGAAGTACTGTAAAGCGATATATAAGTTTATTGATGTTGCTAAGCCTAATTTATTGTGATGCTAGCCGTGCAAGATACATGATGATGATTAGAGTTACCCAAATAGATAACTATAGAAAACTGTGATTAAGATGAACTTTCTGGAATCTTAAGATATTAATGCAGATGACCAGGGGTTGTATTTTCTCCTTTGTTCACTAACACAATGATCTCCACTGTTGTTTGAGCATTGAGCTGATTATAAGAATGTTAATTAACAAAGCCAAACCATTTACAACATAAATATTGGGGAGGTCAATTCCAGTTTCTCTTAACATCAGTTTCAGAGAGAAATAGGGGTTTGGCAATTTGAACAATCTGAAAAGTACAACATCTTCCCTGGTGTGGCATCTCTTAATCTGCTGGCATTACAACTGCCAGAATTATCTCACTATATTGAAAATTCCACAAATTCATCTCAACACACTTTAAGGGTGTCAGATTTTCCACATTGACTTCATTCTCACTGCATGTATGTTGTTCTAAAAACAGTTAACTAGAACTCTTAAGTTTGAATCCTAGGTGTACAATTGAATTAAATTAAATCTTGTGCAAAAGGAATGTATGCCCAACTTTCCTTGTTGTGTATTACTTTCATTGGATCATAGGTTGGTTGCAAGCTGGATTCCAGCACCTTTGGTGGTTTTGATGATTTTGTGCAAGGAAGGGGAAAGGAACAGCTTTGGTTAAAGCTTTTATTTATCTCTTTTCATACAACTTGAAACAGAATGTTGCAAGGAAAATAGCGCCCGATATTACGGTTTCTAAAGACAAGCAGATTAAACACAAATGATTTAGTGAGGCATTTAAACAGTCTCTACAGCCACTAAGCAAAGCAGTGAAGTGCCATAGACTAGATTCTGCACTCTTTTGAATTCCCATCCCGAGACATCATCCTGAACCAATTCCTATTCTTTCTCTTTGTTCCCTCTACATCTCCATAGGATGCTGCATCAAAACCACTGGAGGTCTTACTGCTGGAGAAAAACCGCCTGCTGCAGTCGGAAAATGCCACATTGCGGATCACGAACAGTGACCTGAGCGGTAAGTGGATAGGAGAAAAATAGGTAATTATTATTTTAGGTTGTGCTTGCTCTCAGGAGATGAGGATGTGGAAAGGGATGGGGATGTGTGAACCCAAGGCCACTGCATGACAGAAAGATGAATGGTAAGCAAGGATCTTGTCTTATGTTGAGAGTCCCCTCTTATACTATAGATAATAGACTAAGACTTTGGGGGCCTTAGAAAAATGATAAAGGTTAAGAGGGAGAAATGTTCTCATATGTTGGGATGGAGCAGCATTGGAGCCTGCCTTCCCTTTCAATTCTTTTGTTGGACTGTGACATTATTTCCTATGCACATCTTTCCCAAGACATAGATTGGTGTTTCAAGGAGACCCTCTCTTGTTTTCATAGCTGATTCGTTCACCCAAATCCTGACTGCCTTTATTTCCATTAGCATTGAATTTTGGCTCCATTTGGCTGCTTATGTGTTTTGTTTGGAAGGGATGCTTTGTATGCTATAAATGAACAATACAAGCGGGGTCTCTAAATAAATAGAATTTCCTGGAGTTCCCCGCCCCCCCAAGTAAGGTTTCTAGAGCTGGTGCCTAATGTGTCAATGGGCAGCTGGGTGATTGCTGCCTTGTGCGCAGTTTCTGTGTTCTTCTGTGGCTTCCTCTGAGCAATGGTTTCCTATGTCTTACGTGTGTTTCATCTAGCTTTAATATATGTTTGCTGCATTTGGACTCAAACAAGGTCTGTTCCTGTGTATGTGTGTGTCTGGAGGGGTTTGGAACAACTCAAATGTGCGAGGAACCAAAGTTTTTGTGTGTGCGTCAATGAATTTTAAACCAAAACAAAAGAATTCTGTAACTGCACTTCATGTCATTGTTCTACTGCTAATATTTGGAAGGGGGAATTCTCCAGGCTGCAACATACAAGAAAGGTGCAAACATGAAATGCATGTTGTTTGTCTTGGGGGCCTTGTTTGGCTTATTAAAATTAAAAGAAACAAACAAAACAAAACAAAAACCCAAACCACTTTCTTCATTGGCCCTTATTTCAAGAACAAAACAAAACGCAACCTGCACTATTTTTCCCTTTTGTGGGGCAAGCTCTGCATTTTGGTCTTGGTTTCCCCCCTTCTTTTTGATCCCCCATAATGCATTATGTTTGACCTTCCTTGTAGGGTCAGCCAGGAGAAAAGGGAAAGACCAGCCTGAGAGTCAGCGTCCTGCAACCTTGCCGGCCTCCCCTCCTCCTCAGTTGCCCCGCAATGCAGGGGAGCAGGCTTCCAATACTAATGGTACACACCAGTTCTCACCAACGGGTTTAAGTCAAGACTTTTTCAGCTCATCCTTGGCAAGCTCCGGCTTACCCCTGGCTTCTACAGGAAAATTTGCACTAAACTCTCTCCTCCAGCGCCAACTTATGCAGTCCTTCTACACCAAGGCAATGCAGGAAGCGGGAAGCACAAGCATGATTTTTTCAGTAGGTCCCTACAGCACAAACTCCATATCTTCCCAAAGCCCCTTGCAACAAAGCCCGGACGTCAACGGCATGGCCCCATCACCCAACCAATCCGAAAGCACCGGCAGCACCTCAGAAGGTGAGGAGATAGACACAGCCGAAATTGCACGTCAGGTCAAAGAGCAATTGATCAAGCACAATATCGGACAGCGGATCTTTGGACACTATGTCTTGGGACTTTCTCAAGGATCTGTGAGTGAGATTCTGGCACGACCTAAACCGTGGAACAAGCTGACCGTGAGAGGCAAGGAGCCATTCCATAAAATGAAGCAGTTCCTTTCTGATGAGCAGAACATCTTGGCTTTGCGCAGCATCCAAGGCAGGCAGAGAGGTGAGTCACGGGGCAGTAGCCTCCAGCTTCTCTTTTGGCATCTATGTTTGTCTAGATAGGGGACACTGTCAAAAGAGAAGGTTGTCTGTGTGTTTAAAGTTGTCTGCTTGGTATTCAGTATATAATGTGGGGGGGAAATCGAGAGAGGCCCTTGCTAGGAATCAAGCGGGAATAGCAGAGTAAAAGATAGGCATTTAAGGATTGCGCTCCATCTCCATAGGAATGGGTGTGAACTGCAAACAGAAAAAAGGACCACCGGGGCAGCTTCATTTCTGTGGGGCTGATTCCAATGGGCTGAGACCTGTGTAAGCTGATTGAGAGTATACCTCTTAAACTATCTCTCATGCATTGGGCAGCAGTGAAAGGAGGGCTGCTTTTTTTTTTTAAATGAAGTTTAACTTTGTAGGAAACTTTACAGATCTTCCCTGATCAAGCCACAGCAGGGCAGGTTTTATCATGACATCATCTTCATTTAACAACCCTATAATCCATCGCGGGGTGGAGTCTGGGCAACTGAATGGAGCTAGCAGAGTGTTTTAATGGCCGGATACCCTTCCTGTTGCCACTGCGGAGTTTTGTTTAGCAGATTATGTTCTCAGTGTGTCCAGAGAGAGAAATATCTGCCTCTACCTAGAATCGAACTCACAGCCTCCTGATTGTGAGATGAGAGCTCCACTCCAAGCAGGTTTTATCAGTACCTGATCCCTATTAATTTTGGTTTGTTATGCATACATTACAGGAGAGGTTTTTTTTTTTTTTAAAGTAAAAGTTGTAGTAGGATCCTTTGTGATTCCTTTGGCCAATCTCATTTGATTACCAATGGAAAATGCAGTAATATTTGAAATGAATTCTAATAAAGGAGGGCCGTTACATTTCACCGTCTCTGCAACAGCTACAGTGGGATCTCCTGAGCATTTGTAAATCTAGCCCTCTTGCCTATAAGCCATCAGGTCCATTGGGCTGCTACACTCAGAACTTATTATGGTCTGTTGGGGCCATGCAGATTCAGATATGACAAAAGAAGCTGGTGGGAAGTCTGGCTGTTTGGGGAGATGCATAACAGTACAAGGAAGAATCAGGCCAGATAAAAAGTCTCATTGAGCGTTTTTAATGAGTGGAGTTAGAAGTTGCCCCTGTGATACAGAGATGATTTTGTCCAGGGGTTATAGTTTCTAAACCTTACCTCTATTTTTAGCACCGTCATCACTAAAAGTATGATCTCTCGAAATCATGTCCATAGAATGTAGATTTATGTAAATTTTAATTTACTTTTTTTCCCCACCAAAAATCCAATGACCAACTTCTTGCGAGATTGCAAACTCAATGTAAATGTAAAGGAAAGGGAGGCAGAAGGTCCCGTTCCTCAGTTGAAAGTATCTTAGGTAGCAGTTTGGGGAGAAATTTGGGAGAGCCACTGCTAATCTTCATCTTTTAAGATCAAAGGTTCACCTATTCTCCAAATATACATTTGGGAGGTGCGCTATATTAGAATTATTTATCGTATGCTTTATTTACTTTAAACTATTAAATCTATATCCTGGACAGTTATCAGTGTTGTCTGGCAATTTGCAGTAAAAGAGAGGCGAGGGAATGATACCTCAGGAAGATATAAAATGCAAACTGTGAAATTGATTCTGGCAGTGTATCAGTTTGATAAGCACAGTGAAACCAACATCAGCTGATAATAGAAGAAAAGTGCATAGATAGTCCTTGTTAGAAGAAAAGTGCATAGGTAGTCTTTGTTTAGTGACTGCCTTGTACAGCAATCATTTCTAGTTACAATGGCAAGGGGGTGGGGGGAAATCTTTGCAACCAGTCCTCACTTTTACTACCTTTGCAGATCTGTAAAGGGGAAAAAAAGCTTGAAGTAAGATCACAGTTACACTTAGCGACCACTACACTTAACAACTGAGCTGACCGCCCCAGCTGTGGTTGCTTTATACCTGTAGTGTAAAGACTTGAGACACACACACACACACACACACACACACACACACACACACACAGCTTTTGAGATTCAGTAGCTTGGGAATATAAAGTATATGCATAAACGGAAGAGATGGCACTGGGCTTTGAAACACAGACTTGATGTGAATGCATTTATTCGCTGTACAATCATAGAAAGAGGTGAGAGAAGAGAGTGAGATGCCAGCTCCATCCCACTTGTAAAATTAGTGTTCCTTTACAGGAGAATTGCAGGTCTCAATCGTACGTTCATAAATATAATCAGATCTTGTGGGTTTTCCTTGGATTCAGAAATGTCCTTTTTAATGGTATAACTGCTGTCCTCCTATTATATAGCATGATTTTCACTCTTTGAATTTGCACCCATGTGTTCATTGTATTTACCTTTGAGCCAGAAGTGTAAATATGTAGCCAGGGGAGACTTCTTATATGGCTCAGACATCGTGCAGTAAATATTAAACATAGCACAGGGCTGAAACTGGTCAAGATTCACACCATCTTATAAGATAACATTTAAGATCAAACTATATAATTCTGAAAGGTAGAAGAGTTCATTAGCCAGGTTACTGTTCAAGGATGGGGTTTACAGAGGGACAGAAAGAATTCTGGTCTGTACATGCTGCAAACCGGAGCATTCCCATTTTATTCAGGAATGTAAAATGACTGTATATTTTGTAACTATCCCTGAAGTTTGATATGGCATAAGACCTCATCCAAGGATGGGAAATGCTGGAAATACATTGCATGGAGAAAGTAGGAAAGCTGTTTCTTTCTCCATTAAAAGTAAAATGTCTTCCTTGGTCCCTGTAGAGCAGGGGTGTCAATCACGGCGTCACAGCGGCGTCATGTGACGTATCAGGATTTTTTTTCCCCTTTCGCTAAACCGGGTGTGGGCATGGCCAGCACGTCACACATCCAGCCCATGGGCCGGGAATTTGACAGCCCTGGTGTAGAGGCAAACAAGCAGGCAACACTCAACTGCAGCTGTCATTTTTTTCTCTATAACTCTGAGAACTGAAAACATGTATTCTTAGCCACATACATTTTCTCATACAGTGCACCGTTAATACAGTAGCCAATGAGAACCCAGTTACTTGCACCTGAGCACAGAAAGGTTATGCACAATTGTCTAGTGCTGACTTAATATATGAGTGCAATGTGCAAAGGGCATTCCCTGTGTTCTCTATAGTCTCATTCTTGTATGAGGCCTGGAGTGAAGAGCCAGTTATTCTCTGCTTAGCTCCCTCTCAGGATATGTCATATTCTGACCAATATTCTGCCACTCATAATTTAAAATAGGATAACAATACATCACATGGTTTTGTTTTGTTTTTTACAAAAAAAATCAGTACAGTACAGAATAAGGATCATCATTGTCAACAATTTCCTACCCATTTTTTTTTTTTATTTTCACAAAGTGCTAACTGCTATGGTTGGCTTGTTCCTCCTCATTATTATATTGCATGATACTTTGGATATTCGTTTTGGAACAAACCATTTTGGCCGGTGTTTGTATGAAATAATATTGCAGGTGGAGATTTCCCCTTCCCAATTCCTAAAGGGGAATCGCTTGCCTTTCTAAGCATGTGATTTCATTTGGAAGGGAAGCTTTAAAGAGAATGGGGATTTGAGGAGGTGCGATGTGCTTTTTTGAAGCAGAGCTTCCCTAGATTGCCAAGAAGTGTTTATAGCATCTTACAGCATGTTCCCTTCCTTGGGGTCATCCTCTCTTGTAAGAATTACTGACCCATCTCTGTCTTTTTGTACCTTTTTAGATGTTTGTTTATATCTTTCTAATCTCCTTTTGATGAGTAGCTGTAATCTTTATTAACCAGTTGTCTGCCTTGCTTCTTTTCTTCAAAATAGCCAGGCCTAAAAGGTTTATGAGCTGCTTGATTTCACTGCTGCCCTTGCTCACTGTCCACTCCCTTCCTCTCCCCCCACTCCAACCCCTATAAATGTTAGGCAGTTCTTGTTTCATCTCACAAAGCCCAAAGTTATAAGAAGAACCATCCCCTGATTGTTTTGTTCTTACCCGACTTGTTTTTCAACAGAGAATCCAGGCCAGAACCTGAGCAGGCTATTTCAGGAAGTACCGAAACGAAGAAATGGGTCAGAAGGTACGTCACAGGCAGGTGTTTCTCTTTGCGGTTGATCTTTGGAAAGTGAAGTGTGCTTAGTTGTGTGTCGTCTTAATTGTTGTTGGCATAAACACAAAGGGGGTGCAGTTTGATTCTGGCCTGGAATCTGAGAGGAAAAACAGACAGTGGGCCCTGTGCAGTCGTAACATGGACTCCATCCAAGCTCCGTTTGAAATCACTTCTTCCCTCCTATTCCTCTCCATATTAGTTCCATTGTTCCCTGCGTTAGCAGGATTTCGCATTTCAATTAAACCAGACCGTACTTTGTGCTGACCAAAGTTATCCTGAGAATCAGTGCTTGAAGCAAGTAGAGGTCTACAAACACTCTTTCTGAGGTCAACACTGATTAGCATCCACATAGTGCCAGTGCGCAGGTAATATAAAATCAGGTTGATGCTGGATAAGGAAAAGAGGAAGAAGTAAATGGTGGTTGGCAAAGAGTCCATGCTATATCTGTACTGGTGCAGTAAGTATAAAACAAACCAAGGGTTAGCATCCAGATCACTCATCCCCTCTTTTCTCTCCTTCTGCTATACTAACCTGGCTCCTTCAAATAAACTGTCTCACTCAGGCAAAGCTGGACTCCCCTACTGTCAATCCCACTAATTTTCTATGCTTTCTTCAAGGAGCTCAGGTCAACGTTCTTGGGAATAACCCCATTTTTATCCCATGTAGGGAATAATCCCTACAAGTGACCACATGGTAAATTTCATGGCAGAACCATTGGTTCAAGTCTGATGTGTAACCTATCATATCATATTGGCTTTTGTAGCCTTCTTAGTGTTTGAGATTCACAGTCAAAAGTGATATTGGCATGAAAAGTTTAAGTGTTTGTGTGTGTAGATTTGACGCTGCTGTGAATCTTAAACAATGCAAGCCACGTTTTTTTCCTTCTGTGGCTTGAATGTTGAGCGAAGTGTTCTATCATAGACATAGAGATGTAGAAGTGTGTACCGAGATGCAAAGCCATTTCAGCTAGATAAAACAATATCTGATAGCAAATGTGATGCTAAAACACCATCAAGGGTTTGAGAACTTGAAAGAAAGAATGAAGTAGCATTATCTCTATGCTGAATGTAGTTCCTGCTCAAAAACTACCTTAACAAAATAGGACTTAATTTAGCATTCAAACAATGTAGCATAATATGGCTAGTGGCCAGAATGTGACTAGTTTTGAACCAAGTATAGTTCATAAACTCTGGTGACTTTAAGAAAGTTGTTTGAGATCATAGATTTAGATTTCTTCTCAGAATGGCTTATAACCCAGTTTTGCATGTGTAGAATCACTACACCAGTATTGTAGAAACTTTTATTTGGTTAGTTGCGGTTCTTTTCTTTAAAATAGGAAAGTAAGGTTATAATCATAATTCCATCTATTCTGCAAGATCATTTAAACTTGTTTCTGAGCAAATCTGTTTCAGATTGCAGTATGCTGTTCTGTTTCGGGATCTGGACTAAAATGAATAGAACAGAAATTCAAACAGAAGTAGAGGACTTTAATTTGGCCAAGTGTGATTAGGCACACTAGGAATTTGTCTCTGGTGCAGAAGCTCTTAGTGTACCTGCAAATCAACAGAATGGTGATAATAATAATACCAATAAGATATTAGTATGATTGGTATTGGTAATAAGAAGCATAAACAATAATACAGCCATACTATATGGTTAATACACATAAACATAAGATAGTAATGTGAGACTTAGGTGTTCAGCAGAGAGATGGCACAAGAGGAAAAAAAAACTGTTCCTGTGTCTAGTTGTTTGGGACTGAAATGCCTTCTAGCGCCATCCCAAGAGAAGGAGTTGAAATAGTTAATGTCCAGGATATGAAGGGCCTGCAGATATCTTCTTAGCCCTCCATCTGACTCATGCAATATACAGGTCTTCTATGGAGGACAGGCTGGTTGCACTTGTTCTTTTTGCAGTCTTAGCTATCCGTTGGAATTTGTACCTGTCTTATTTGGTTGTTGTAAAAAACCAGACAGTTGTAAAAGTACAAATGACAGACTCAATAATTCCTCTGTAAAATTGTACCAGCAGCTCCTGGAGCAATCTGAACTTCCTGAGTTATGCAGGAAGAACATTCTTTGTTATGCCTTTTTATGATGGTTCTAATATTAGGTGTCCATTTCAAGTCCTGGGAGATTATAGAACCCCAAAACTTGAAGGACTCTTTTTGCTGATCATCTGCTGTCAAATATAGTAGGAAGTGGTAAAATCCCATCTATATGAAGACTCATCACTGTCAATGACAGTTGAATCATCTGCAGATGTCAGTACTTTTAATAGAAGGTCCCCTTGAGGTACAGTCATTGGTATATAGGGGCGCCTGTGCTAAGTACCTGAGTATTAAATGCAATTTTCCCTAGCTTCACCTATTGCTTTCTATTTATCAAAAAGCCAATGATCTACCTACATTGGATTACTCCTCAAAGTTCTTTTTTTTCCAGATATGAATGTTAATGCTTGTCCTTCTTTAAATCCTTAAAGTCTAAGTTAAGGAGGAAGGAGCAACACATGTTCACACCATACCACTCTCTTCTTAATGCTTTCTTAATTCCTGTTAATGAGTAAACACGTTAACACCACGTTTTCCTAAGAATGTGCACCTACCATGCATAGCCCACCCATCAAAACAGCATGATTTCAAAATAAGGGGCTTTCTACAGACACATTGACCATACAACATCAGCTCCAAATGAGCAAAGCATCTTTGCCACTTTGGATTGGAGTACTGCAAATATCTGTTAATGGGTTTTTCAAGTTAGATTCCTGTCTTAGCATGAACCAAGAAAATGTGCTACAGGTTTCCATTTCTTTCTCTAGCTTGTTTCAAGGCTGAACAAGACTAAAAATCCTTATTTTGCACAGCACAGAGAGGTTTAGCTGAAGAAGCCATGGATGGCTCATTAACAATCCCACCTGATCATTGAATAATCAGCAAATATTTACCAGCCATTTTATCTATAGCTAAGCTTGTTATGCAAACATGATCTGTATTTTATACACTCGCTTTCTCCTACATGAGTATTTTGACTAGGGATAGGGAATCTGAGACTCCCCAGCTGTTATTCTATTTCATTGTTAATTTTTATTTTTAAGTTCAGCAGGTTTGACATTTTGATCCGCTGCTTTTAAATTCAGCGTTTAACAGGACTGCTTCCTATGTTCAGAGTTGTACATTTTCTGGCTGTTTGATTTTTCTGTAGCGAATACCTTATTTTATTGTACTCCCTTGATTTATATGGCTTCCCCGCTCACTTCTGTGCGACTCTAGGCGACGTACAATAATAATAAAAAGACACAAAATATGAAACAAACATAAAAGACAGAAAGACAGAGCAGCCAGGCATCATTCATACAACCAGGAGATGGGCTTTAACCCATGTGCAGGGCCCCAGGTTCGAGCACAAAGCCAAGTTTTCAAGGCCTGCCAAAAGGCCAACTGGGACAGGGCCAATCTAATCTCAGGGGAAATGATGTTTCAAAGGGTAGGGACCATGACAGGAAAGATTTTCCTTCTAAACCCCATCAGCTGATGGTCCCCAAAACATGCCCTTCCTCATAAGCCATTTTGGATGTGATTTCCACAACACTAAAAGGTTAATAATAAAAATAAGTAATATAAGTGTGATAATACTGATAAGAATAGAGCACAAATTGTGGGGGGGAAAGGCACAGCTTCATCAGAGCGCTGGTCACATAAAGTATGCATGTGCTGGCTTGGGTGCATTGATGCATTTATTTTTAATTTGTGCTTTAAAAAAAAAACACCACAGTGTATGCTGCATATTCTTGCAGAAGTCTGTGGTATGGAGATATAACTAGGCCATCCACGGGTTGCTAATAGAAGGGCAGCTCAAGATCTCCCATTCTCCCCTGGTGGGGTTCTCACTCTGCAAAGGAGAATTGGGCAGGATACTCTTTCAGACAGAAGGTGCCCTGAATGGACTGTTCTTCAATGGATGTACTAAGGCCTGGTGGGGATGGAGCTGTTTAAATACTAAGGAAAATAGTAATATAAATTCTTACATTATTAAACAAAATGAAATCACCATTGTGCCTTCTAGCGCTACTTCAGATTTCTTTTAAACTCAGGATAATTGTCTTAAATACTGGGTAATGAAGGCACATAAGCATTTGGAACTTTTAAGCACATTCCGTCTTTTATGTTCAGTGTCTCATTTTAATTAAGAAATGATAAAACAAGGAGTTGACTAACTTCTGAAGGGAAATTTAAGTTGTCTAATGACTGCAAAGAGGGTTAGGATTGTCCTTCTGCCTCCCTATTTCTGAAAGGCTGCTATTTCAATAAACTGGACTTAGAATGCCTCACAGGAGCAGTCCTTAAAGACAGATGGCCAATCTTCTACAACTAGAGAGGATATTCTGAAGGATTTCCTCCAGATAGTCAGAGAAGCTGCTGGGCTTTAGAAGGGTTTGCCCCTCTCCTAATATTTTTAATTATATAGGAAGAGGTATTTGCAAATATGAGTTTTTAATAGTTTCAGTTAATTGTTTATTCTTGCTGAGTACCATGTGTCCTGAACCCCAGTGGTTTTGCAGGAATTTATTACTTGGTTGCTATACTTGTATTGATCCTATTTTGAACTCAGGGCCATAAATAGAATTACACTAACCTGCATAAAGAAGAACGGTTCCTTCTGACATGTTACTGTAGCTCACCTGACATGGACTTCTTACAGAAACTGTTCATTGTTTCGTTCTTGGAAAAAATAATTTTAAGGAAAGTAATGTTCAAGTATAGCCTTAGGATCTTTGATAGTAGAATTGGGAATTTGAATCTTCACCCACCTGCATCTTTGACTCTTGTTACACACCAGTCGTCCTAAATAGCCCACGTACTGTATGTAAAAGTCCTGAATTCACAGGTGAATGCTAGGACAGCACAAGCCAGATAGATCTCGTTATTCTAATATTTCCATCCATTTAAACAGATAACAGATAATCAGAGTTGGAAGGGACCTTGTAGGTCACCTAGTCCAACCTCCCCCCACCCAAGCGGGAGACCCTACACCATTTCTGACAGATGAGAGTCCAATCTCTTCTTGAAAGTCTCAAGTGATGAAGCTCCCACAACTTCCGAGGGCAACTTCTGTTCCATTGGTTGATTGTTCTCACTGTCAGAATATTTCTCCTTATTTCCAGGTTAAATCTCTCCTTGTTCAGTTTCCATCCATTCTTCTTTGTCTGGCCTTCAGGTGCTTTAGAAAATAGCTTGACCCCTTCCTCCCTGTGGCAGCCCCTCAAATATTGGAAGACTGCTATCATGTCTCCCCTGATCATTCTCTTCACTAGACTAGCCATGCCCAGTTCCTGTAACCATTCTTTATATATTTTAGTCTCCAGTCCCCTAATCATCCTGGTTGCTCTTCTCTGTACTTTTTCTAGAGTCTCAACATCTTTTTTATAATGTGGTTATGATATAGTTTCAATGATGTGCGCAAAGCTGAAAATTCTGATGAATGATGCCGCTATTAATTGAGTGGGTGTGGAAAGGAGCCAGTTGGATTTTTCTACCTGCAGCCTTTGGAAAATGGGAAGCGCTTGATAATATAAGATTATAGGCAGCCCACCCCCGCCTCCCATTAAAGTGCATTTGGTCTGCTTCCATTGAACTCTACATCTTTTAAAAGCAAGCATTGAGCTATATCTTGTTTAAAGGAAGATTTGAATGCTGCTTAGGCATATCGCCAATTTGGAAAACGACCAAAATAATTCAAATGCACTGCCCCCTCCAATATGCACTCCTTATGTCTGTTTTTTTTTTTAAAAAAATTCCTGTCTAAAAAACTTGGTTATATTTGGATATATTTTGCTTTTTTAATGTTTGGTAGATTTTCTTTAAAAAAAAAACACGAACAAGGAAAAACGTCTTGCACATTGTGTTCAGGAACTGTTTGTGCTTTGGATGGAACTGGTCCATTCGACTTTCAACAGCAGGCTATATAAAATATTGTTTGATATCCTTATTGTAAGAGTTTGCTGCTCACAAACATTGCCATGTTATCTTAAATTTGCAGTGAGTTTGATGAGGCAAAACACATTAGTGGAGTACTTAGAGCAGGACTATCAAACTCGTGGCCTGCGGGCCAGATGCATCACATGCTGGCCACACCCAGTTTTAGTAAAGGAGAGGAAAGCTGTAATACGTCGCCGTGATGACGCGAGTTTGACACTCCTGACTTGGAGTATCAGGTCCTGGCTCCTATGCCCAGAAAATCCCTGGAAAAGAAGCAAGTGGGGCAGATCCTCTGTGCATGGGGATCCAGGAAAAACTTCTCCTGCTTAGAGGAGATAAAATCAGACTGGAATAAGCCAGCTCAGTAACTCATGCATGACGCCAACTTCTGAATCATGATTTACAAATCATGATACTTTGTTAATGCAAATCTTCATGGTACCAAATCTATACTTAGATTTTAGTCCCAAAGTTGCTTTTTCAATAGGCAACTGGACTTAGTTTTTTCTTGAAGATGTTTCACTTCTCATCCAAGAAGCTTCTTCGGGATCTGAAGAGGCTTCTTGGATGAGAAGCAAAATGTCTTCAAGGAAAAACAAAGAAATCCAGTTGTCTTTTGAAAAAGCACCTCTGGGGCAACTATGACCCGGATGACTGAGAATCTCCATAGGCACTTAGATTTTAGGCTCAATATATGAAAGCAGTGCATCAGTTAGATGTATGTTCTCTTCATTGGTCCAGTATCCAGACAAGCAATTCACTTGTCTTTTGTATTCTTTTTGAAATAATTGTGATTGTGAAGGAAAGTGACCCATTTGTGAGATGTGACTAAGGACAGAAGCAGGGGCAAGCTAAAAGAGAGGGTGTTTGAAATTCTAAATAGCTGCAAAACTAGTAGAAGGCAGGTAAAATACAGCCACAGCTGTTGATTTTATTCATTGGTTCATCTTTTAGATTTTATGGAGTAATTCACTGAGTCAAGCTACCAGTTTGTGGCTTAGAAAATCAATTCTCAAAAGGTTGCTCAACGATTGATCATTTCTCCTCTCTTCAGGTAACATTACCACAAGAATCCGAGCTACAGAAGTTGGCTCTGATGAAGCTATCAAATCCATTCTGGAGCAAGCAAAAAGGGAGCTGCAGGTACAGAAAACAGGTAGGAGAACTTCTCTGTGCTGGTCTATGAAGTACAGGTTAACGTGGAAACAGTAGTAAGTGCTTATGAGAAAGCAAATGACCTTGGGACGTGGTTTACTTCAGTAAATTCCATTGCTAAAGGCTTACAGCTTAAAGAGTGTTGAGTCCTCCTTTAACTCAAGAAAATGTTGTATGTCATACCCCAAACAGGGTGTGGATTGGTGGGTATGGCAGGGGAAGGATACTGTAAAATCTCCAGTCAGAGGTGGTATTTGCCGGTTCTCTGAACTACTCAAAATTTCCGCTACTGGTTCTCCAGAACCTGCTGAATACCACCTCTGTATTATACCATATAGAAAATACTGGCAAGGGTGGCTAAAATAGTCCTAAATGTACAGGGAAATGAAGTAGGATAGTGTGCATCACAGTGTGCAGATAATAATAAAAGAAATGTAGCCAAGACACAGATCTAGTGAGCAGAAGAGATGGGGTAAAACAGATTGGTCCAGATTAGAAATGTGCATTAAAAAGAAAGATGTGTCCTAGGGTGCTGAAAGCATTTATTTACTGATTGGATGTGCTGGAAATGTCAGTTTATTGAGCATTTTTTCTTTTTCTTTGTGGCCTACATCTGACTCATGAATATTCTCCTGATCCTTTAGCTTGTGATGTGGATGACATCACAATAAGTATCCTAGTATACACCTGCTTAGTAACAAGCTGTTTCAGAATCAAGAAATGTTGTTTTTCTATTTTATATTAATTGGCACAATTGCAAGTAAAAATGGGATCATCAGCAGTTGATTAATTATATCCCATTCTATTAAGGAGGCAGTGGTTTTTTGATAGATTGGAGTGTGTTTGTTTTCTGTTTCACTTTGTTTTGGTATTGTAGTGCTTTTTGTTTTTATGAGGATTATTTTTTTCATTTTCTTGGGCAATAAATATTTACATTTCATAATATTTGACATTTATTGAGGCATAAAAATGTAAGAAAATGTTCTTTTCCTTGTAAATTTCAGGATTCTAATAAAGATTTTGCTATGGAGGAGTTTTCACCCTTGTTATTTTTCAGGATCTTTATAAGGCCGTCTCGTAAATGTGGTTTTAAAATAATAATAATAATAATTCTGAACCAGTAACCTTCATTAGTAAAGAATACATCTGCCATAGATCTCTATTGAAGCATGAGTGGTGAGGGAAAGAAGAGCTTATAACGGACGTTTGGAGAAATGAATGTTGTGATCTACTGTATCTCATCAGCCATTGTTTTCTTATTCTTGCAGCTGAGCCGGCTCAGCCACCTTCCACGTCAACCAGCAGCAGTTCCGATGATGCCATTCGCTCCATTTTGCAACAGGCTCGGCGAGAGATGGAAGCCCAGCAGGCTGCCCTTGAACCTGCCTTAAAAGCCACCCCTCTGTCCCAAGCCGAAATGTCCATCTTGTCCTCAAAACTGATCCCCACGCCTGCAGTTTCTTCGGTTTCTAGTTACTCTCCCCTGGCTCTGTCCTTGAAGAAGCACTCGTCCTCTGTGGATTCCACTGTGTCTTCCCTACAGACTGTCCCCGGTCTCAAGAAGGAAGCCCAAGAGGCCTCCCTTCTAGACCTTCACGGGATGCCTGACTCAGCACAAGGTGTACTGAGGCATGTTAAAAATGAACTGGGGCGCAGTGGGGTATGGAAGGACCATTGGTGGAATACTGTGCAACCTGACAGAAGGAACACAGCTCCTCCAGAAGATCCCAAAATGGAGGAAAGCACCAGTGGGAAAGAGAAGGCCAGCAACCAAGCTCGTTCGGACCGTAACCAGCAACTCCAAGGGCCCTCCTCCTCGGAATATTGGAAAGAGTGGCCCAACGCAGAATCTCCCTATTCTCAGAGCTCTGAACTGAGTGTGACAGGGGCAAGTCGCAGTGAGACGCCCCAGAACAGCCCCCTTCCTTCTTCCCCCATTGTTCCTTTATCAAAGCCATCTAAGCCTTCCGTTCCTCCATTGACCCCTGAGCAGTACGAGATTTACATGTACCAAGAAGTGGATACGATAGATCTAACCCGTCAGGTCAAAGAGAAGCTAGCAAAAAATGGCATCTGCCAAAGGATATTTGGGGAAAAGGTAAGGCTCTCAAGTGGAATATTACGGCGGTTTCTGTATCAGTCATCAGCATCTGACAGCAGTGGGTTAAGATTGACATAAAAAGGGAAATGGTTAATTTATACAGGTAGTCCATGACTTACAACCACAGTTGAGCCCAAAATTTATGTTGCTAAATGAGACATTAACTTGAGTTTTGCCCCACTGTATGATATTTTGTACTACAGTTGTTAAGTGAATCACTGTAGTTGTCAACTTAGTAAAATGGTTGTTAAGTGAACCTGGCTGCCCCCTTGACTTTGCTTGTTAGAAGGTTACAAAAGGGGATCACATGACCCCAGGACACTGCAACTGTCATAAATATGAATCAATTACCAAGCTCCTGAATGTTGTTTAGGTTACATGTAAGTATGAAAAATGGTCGTACAGTGGAGCTTAGGGTCATGACCATAATCCATTCCCAGACTCCAGTCGCAATCCGATTGGTCATGTGCAGAAGCACGACCGACTGCGCATGCGTGCAGTTAAAAAAAATGGCACCGAAAAAGAAATTCAAAAATCAGGTGGATTTTTTTGTTCGCCACCGGATTTGGTCATCACCCTTCAAGACTGGGGAAGCTTAGAGGTTTTTTTTTAAAGAAGTGAACCAAAAGCAGATACAATGTTTGAGGTATCCAGATTCAAGACTAAGTGATTAGCATTTTTCTTCCCACCACCACAGTACCCACAATTCCATATGCTTACATGCCTGCAGAATCAGAACAGACAAATACAGAAATGGATGGGGCTATCACATCTTGAATGTCCCTTTCAGGGGACATTTGTTAGGATGGAAGGAATTTGTTACACACCTTGCATTTTTGCACAAGAAGCAAAACCTGCTGAGATACCTTCTGCAGAGCTTTGAAAGATGGGGGCGTCCTACCACTTAAGCATATGGCCACTCTGATGATGAGCAGGCTAGCATGGAATTGTGGGATTATCACAGGATAGAACGGTGTTTCTCAACCTCATGAACTTTAAGGTGTTTGGACTTAAAACTCCCAGAATTCCTTAGCCTGCCTGGCTGGAGGAATTCTGGGAGTTGAAGCCTACATAGGTTAAAATTTCTGACATTGAGGAACATTGGATTAGAGGAACGATGCCAATCATTTGGCTTTGCTATTTGTTGCAACTCCCATAAGAAGTGACTGGATAATGACTGAGATGCTCATGCAATAAACCAGAAGCTCTTCTCTGGGGACCCCATGTCTCTTTCTCAGACTGGTTTTATTTTATCTTTACATTCAAATTACTAGAATAACTGTTACCAGACACTCACACATTTTCAATATTTTACTGCACATTCTAGAATATGGGTTGTTGTTTTTTTTAAAAAAAGGGAAAGAAAAGCAACCAATTCTTAGCTGATTGCATTTTACAGAAGATGAAAAGACTCTATTCCTGCATGGTGTATTGGAGACAGGTGAAAGGCTTACATATGTTGCCACCTTGAGTGATTTCAAGAATAGAATATTGGTGCAAACATAGGTAGCCCTGAATTATGTCATATGGCAGTTTGGGGTGCATAGATGTGTCCACTGCTTTTAAAACGCAGTGAGAGATACAGCAAGAAACTCAGCCTGGTATATTGGTGTTATTTAACTGGAGATGATTGTTTAATGCCAGGCTTCTTTCATTGTCTTCCTGTTTGCATCCTACCAAAGTTAACTTGTTGGCATTCCCCCTGTCCTTTTCGAAATGCTTTCTTTCTTTGGTATTCTTATATATGGAATGAATGAAGTAAAATCACATGAGTAAGCATATCATGGAGATAGTTTGGTGTCATGGAATGTATCATCCCATTTCCAGCCTTATATTTGCTTCTCCTCTTTCCAGTAAAAAAAAGGGCTCAGAGAAACTCAAAGCTAAAAAGTTTTAGTTTAAAAATAAAATAAAATACACCAATAAAGAAACATCAACAGCCATATCCGCTATCCTATAATATGCTAAAACCGAAGTTGGCAGAAATGAGCTGCAATGATTTGCACTAGACTCCACATCTTTCTTCAGATCATTCAACAGTAGGAAATATTTAAATGCTTTGGGGGAAGTTAATTGGGGAAAAAAAACTTGAGCGAGGAGAACTAAGCATGAATTTATTGAGGAAAGAAGCTATGAAGTTTTGGCTCCAGGACTGAGAAGGCACAAGGTTGCCAATTCAGTGGATCTAGAATTCCAGGCCTGAGCAAATCCTTTTAGATCTTTTTCTTGTTGCTATTTAATGCCTGTGCTAAAAAATCAGAGCATAAGAACTACCGGTATCATGAAATTGGGTAAAGACCAGTGTAATCAAACAACTGATTTTCCCATTGTAATGAAGCTTTCTGTGGTTGTTTCCGGTCAGGTGCTGGGTCTTTCCCAGGGTAGCGTCAGCGACATGCTGTCTCGGCCAAAGCCATGGAGCAAGTTGACACAGAAGGGGCGTGAGCCATTCATTCGTATGCAGCTGTGGCTAAATGGCGAACTCGGACAGGGAGTCTTGCCATCTCAAGGACAACCCCAAGGCCAAGGTAAAGGAACAAACTGTACTGGGCTTCAGATCACACCCTGTTCTCCTTGATTTTTTTAAACCTTTCATTTAGAGTACTGTTTCTCAACCTCAACTATTTTAAGATATGTGGACTGACTGAGGAATTGTGGGAGTCCAGCCATCTTAAACTTGATTTAGAGGATCAGTTTGTCCCCAGCCTGTACTTTAAGTCCAAGACTTCTCAACTCCTTGCACAGAGATGGCAATTCCTTTTTTTTTTCTTTTTTGGTGGGATGAGTTCAAGGGTGTGTGGAATGCATAAATGTGGTAAAAACAGCTTAATATTTTGTGAACCCCATAAACTTATGATGACATAAGCATTTTATCAATTATTTATCTATTACTTATTTATTTAATTTATGTGTTGCCCATCTCGCCAATAACTCATGAATCACAGCCCACTAAGGTAACACACCCTGGGAATTATGGATATCAGTTACATCGGGCATTGGAAAGGATTGTGATTATCCCAGTTGATCTTTATTTGAATTCACCATATCCAGGGGTGGGATTCTACAGGTTCGCACCTATTCTCTAGAACTGGTTGTTAACATTCTAAGCAGTTCGGAGAACCAATTGTTAGAAAAAAATTACTGGCCTAATCCTGTAAGGAAGGCAGGAAGGAAACATTCTGGTGTTCCTTATAGAAACTGCCTCTCTGTTGACCTTTATTACGTTCTTGACAGGGCTGGACTTCCTATTTCAGGAACTTCTCTGGAGTTTTTTTGTTGTTGTTCCTTTGCTGGTACTTCGCTTATGTAGAGTGGCCATTCAAAGTTACAATGGCACTGAAAAAAGTGACTTATGACCATTTTTCACACTTACAACTGTTGCAGCATCCCCACAGTCATGAGAGGCCAGGCGAGGAGATGCGTGCCTCGATGTGAGTGATATTGACTTGGCCACACCCAGCCAGTTACATGACCACCAAGCCATGCCCACCAACTAAGCCACGCCCACAGAACCGGTCATTAAAAAATTTGAATCCCACCCCTGACCATATCCCAAAACAGACAAAGGTTGATGTGCCTCTAGAAACTACATTAAGGCAGGAGATATTTCCCCTTAAAATACTTTAAAATACAAAGTAGTCTTCTCGGGGAAGTTCTGAAAGATTTTGGGACCAATGAAAGTAGCTTACATTTGGAAAACTCTTAAAGTTGCATTTTTCTTTATCATGCTTCTCAATGCTGGGACTTCTTGGGAATCTTAAAGCTTGCTGGGAACTCAGGTTGCAACACACACACACAAATCTTTTCCCTTTTTCAACCTGCAAAGTGAATCTTTAGTGGTTGTTAAATAATAACAAGTAATGAATTAGGCTGGGGGAGGCCTTGCTTTTAATGAAGAAAGTTCTTTAATTAAGAACTAACAGGAAAGTAGCTTGATTCTCCTTCCTCCCGAGACAGAACCCTGTATATCTGTATTAGAAGACTTTTGTCAGGCGCTCAAAATTGATGTGATTTTAATTTGGATCTGTTCTGATTAAGTCAGAAATCTACTGTCACATTTCCAGTAACATTGTAAAGAATAAATAGATAAGGGCTAGAGATTATTTTGCAGATGATCCTCATCCAACTCCACATTCTCCCCCTTTTGCCAAAATTGGGGAATCTGTATTTGTGTGTGTGTGCATGTGCATGCGCACTCTCTCAAAAAGGTCTTGAGGTAATAATTACTGTAAAGTATCTGGTTGCCTAAAATCCTTACATTTGTACATGGAGCCAAGAAAGCTATATTCTATGCTATTACATAGCATCCAGAGACATGGGAGTTTACAAAGTGCGAGTGTGAGAAACTAGACAGCTAAGGCAAAAACAAACAAACAAACAAACAAACAAGGGAGTTGGGGCTACCTAGAGCTCCTTAGCCATAGTTTGTCCACGACTGTCATGGATATATCCAAACCTTGGAAAAATCAGAGAGCTGTGCATAGACTCCATCTTGCCTCTTTGCTTCATTGTAAAGAGCAAGCGTAGCATAGGAGCTTATCATCTGAACCAGGCTAATAAAATAGGAAATCTGGATAGATCCAAATGTAATGTTCGGTTTAACTATTAAATTAAATTTCCATAGTTACCGCAATTCCATCAGCCACACCTATTTTGGCCAATAATCAGAGGGTATGAGAACTTGCAGTCTGGCTAATCTGGAGCTCCTGATATTTAAAAGAAAAAGTGGAGACCAGGTGGTTTTACTATGCTGCTTTGCTTTGATCAGCAATTTTCTGGTACTTGCTTTGCTTTCAAATGGAATCTTCTCTCATATCTCTTTCTTATCATCCTCCTTTTCTTTCTCCAGTCCTTCACTCTATGTCATCACTGCAAGACTCCCTTCAGCAGGGATGTGCAAGCTCAGGTAATCAGCTGCTTCATTATGAAATCTGTTGCCTTATTGTGCTATATGTTTCTCTTTCTAGCGGAACAGGTGTGTACCTGTGATGGGGGCGGGTAAACTTCTATTTATTTCTGATATGTTAAAAAGCTGCTTTCCTTTTCCTGGAATTATTTGTATTTATTTAAATTGTCAGGTTTAACTCTTTGCCCTTTTCTTGTTGTGCAGTTTGTTTTTCAATGTCTAAATCATAGAAAAGAGCAATATAGGTGGAAGGAGAACAACCATAGTGTGACTTGCCACAATATCTAAAATTTTGCAAAACATTTTTATAAATTAACATTCTACAGACAGTTCTCTAGAATAACACTGTAAGATTCCTAAGGGTGTTTATGAGGTATTTGGTGCACCAAATAAATAAGTAGTTGTGTAGCCAGAGAGAAAAAAATGTGATTTTTTAAGATTTCGTCCTCATTTTTAGTTTTCCCTGGGGTTTACATATTAATTCCCTTCTGATTTCTTATGCTTCAACAACTTTTGTATTGTATATCTTTCCTTCATTAGCCCCAAATTATTGGAATTCAACTTTTCTGGATTTATCATCAATTCATTAACTGAGCATATAAGGTTTCCAACAAAATTAACTGGAAGAGTCACTGCAACAAAAGCTAATGTTTTATAGATGTGTGCTCAACAGCATTTATTTAAGACATTGATGAGTTCCTCTTCAGTTAAAAAATTTCCAAAATAGTATATAGCAACCAGAAAAGGATATCGATTGTAGGGTGCAATTTTATTCATATATTCCTATCTAATCTAGATTCCGCTACCTTTCATGTTGCTGTGGAAAATAAATAGGAGCATGGGGCAGTGTTGGAAGCCCTGAATTCTGAGTTTTAGTACCTCATTTCAAAAAAATATCCCACTAACCTGCATGAACAACAACAAAAAAAAAAACAGAAAGAAATTGAAGTTTTCGTAGTAAAAAAAACAAAATGCTGAAGGCCAGTGGTTCAGAGGGGAAGGGAAAAGCAAGAAACCAGTTTGTAAAGGTCAGAATGAGACATTTAGTAGAAAAGTGGCTTTAACTTCTTATGATCAGCTATGCTTTACTGGTGGCCTTGCTGGGATAGAGTTGCAATTGAGGAAATTTCTCTGCAGCATCCAACTGCCAGAGACTCCTTGCCAAGAAGTTCTACTGGGAGGCAAAAAAGAGCAGCCGTCTCCAGACTCAGAGATGAGTGCAAAATCTGCTTCTCTGCAGGCTCAAGACAACTGTTGATTGGAAACAAGTGTTCGTTTTGATAGGGAGGGAAGCAGCAGCCTCTTGGCAATTGCTATTACTCCTCTGATGAGTGCAGCCAAAGCTGCCTTTCTCTTCCACGGTGTTCCAAAAGATGAGAGAAGGGTATATTTCCTGTCATCATTCCAAGTAATGCACCCAGAGAAAGCAGAATTCTGAGGCAGGCAAGTTCCTCAAAGAACAATTTATTAGTTACATCATATTGGTACAACTGGTGAAAACCGACTCTGAAAGTTCCCGTGGGTTTCGCCTAATTAAAAAGTAAATGTTTCCTCTTTCCCCCAAGTCACTGGTCACGCTGTCCAATCCAGGTGCTGGCCGGTCGCTTGATCACTTCACTCCTCCTCTGGCCAGCTACCTGTGAGAATGTCCTTGGTTCCCACAGGAAAACTTTATTGTTTTGGCAACAAAACCCTATCTAGCTATTTTCCCCCTTCCCTCTGCTGTGTGGCAACCCTGAAGCCTCCAAGATGGCCTCAGCCAGGTTCACTTCAGGGTTGACACCTCCATCTTTTGATTAGAAGCACTCAAAGGCACCTGGATGGCCACTGTGAGAACAGGGTTTCCTGGACTGTCATTCATTAACTCAACTGAATACTGTAATGAGATTTTGTGGAACATGTTTTAAGGCTGTTTATTTAACAAGTCATAGAGTCAGAACTCAGGTCTTTCTGTTTGTTATATGTGATACGAATCATAACAAACACCAATATCAGTTACTGCAATAAAACCAGAAGTACCAAAAATAAGTAGCCCATATGAGTCAGTTTTTAAAAGCTGAAATGTTTTGGCTTGATCTTGAGGGGTTTTTTTTTTTTTAGTAAACTAAACTTCTTCTAAATTTGAGTTAATGAAACCACTAGGCTCGCATAACATGCTCTGCCTAAACAAATAACATCCTGTGGCTTAGCACCATGGCCTGCTTCAACGACATATAAGACAGTCTAGACTAACCCGGTAGATGAACTCAGCCATCAAAAGTAATCTTTAATGTAATAGTTCCCTCTCATGTTTTAGCAAGGGTAGTAGAAAGCAGGCTGATGGTAGAGTAGACCAATGCATGCCTGAAAATTGAAATCACCAGCTACATCTGATAGCAAGAGACATGTGGCCTGGGCCTGGCCCCCAAAGTCAATGGCAACCTCAAATACCTCTTATTTTTACTTCAAAATTATTTCTCACTTTGTGGGGAAATACCTGATTTGGTTTCATGGAGGGGAGCGGGGTGGGAGAGCGAGCGAGCGAGCGATTTTATTATGCCTATGGGCTTCAAAACCTGGAAGTAGCCTGTCTCCTCTCTGCTCTTTCTGATGGGGCTTGGGTGCGAACCCATTGTCAAGAAGGGTTTCAGATCGGAACTCTTCATCCATGGATACAGTTCGGGGCATCTCATGAGACTTGCAAATGCTTGTATTTCTTCCTGGGTATCATTTATCATTTCAGGCTTTGTGGTACTTAGAATTGTGTAATTGTAAAGGGAAGGGTTTGGAGAATCTAATTAAAGAGATTTTAAAATTAAAATCACCTGTGAGGTCCTTTGTATTGCACAATTGGACATGGCCTCGTCTGGTGATTAATTGAACTCCTCTAATATCACAGGGAAGGGAGTCAGGTGGCAAGGTCATTGTCTGCCACCGGCTAGATTGCTCAGTTTCTGGCAAAGGCCTAAAGGGAAAAGAAATGCCCGACTGAGGAAGCGGACAGCTGGAAAGGAGAGAGATTGAGAGGAATTTGGGAGAGCAAATAGTGGAGATCCGTGGAGGAAGGCGAATAGAAAGAAGAAGGCAAATGATATGATTAGGTCAGAAAGAAAGAGGAGGCAAATGGCCAAGACCTAAAGTCAAGAAACCACATATTTGATTTTAAGTAACTGGCTAAATTACTGGCTGCAAGCTTGTAGTCACTTCATATGATGCATTTAAGCCACAAATGTTGTAAAGAAAAAGTTCTTGCTCCAACAGAAACATTTATTTGGGGAATGGTAGTTCATCCAACAGTTATTCTGTTAACTCTGGGCCCGGGAGGCCTATCTTCTTCCCTTTCCCATACTGCCTGGTGGAAGCCTTTGCTTCTCCACTGATTGTTTTGTAGACCAAAAGCTGTTAAATTCTTTCCCACAAGACTTGTATAAGACACAGAATATAAAAACCTCTTGCATATGAAACTGCTGTCTTATGCATGAAGATTGAAGTATGATTGGTCCTAGAAAATGCATGATTTAAGGTAGAGCCATTCAGTGTTTTGGGGCCTTCTAATGGCATGCTGGGACTATAACTACAGAAACTGGGAAAGACCAGAACAAAAACTACATTAAATTAAATTGACATTACAATTAATGCAACTAAAATTAGTTAGTTTAGTACTTGTGTGTTTCATCATTGTCCTTTTTGTTACATTAAAAGTATAAGTTGGCACAAATTTCTGAAGGGCTCTCAGAACTACAGACAGAGCTTGGGTGGGGACACGGATTGGATACTCTGTTTTAAACTCTTGAGAATAGTAGACCTAAGTGTTGGAGAGGTGTTCCACTGAGATTGTTGTGGAATTCTGAGTAAACAAACAACATGCTTGAAAGTCTTTGAAATGAATCTAACATCTAAAATATGACCCAGAGAATGACCTCTGATGCAAGACATTGCAGTGTTGTAGCTTGGCCCAGAAACAAGCTACCCTTAGAGCAGGCCTGGGCATTTTATGGCCCACAGGCCACATCTGGCCCATGAGTAGTCCCTGTCCAGCCCATGGTGGTGTGGGGGCAGTGGGGAAAATTAATTGCTCACCCCTGCCTTATAGTATGTTGGTTCTAAGCCTTTTAGAGCTTGAAATGTGACATCCAGGTAGATCAGGGGTCTCCAACCTTGGCAATTTTAAGATTTATGGACTTCAACTCCCAGAATTCCTCAGCCAGCTGGCTGAGGAATTCTGGGAGTTGAAGTCCACAAATCTTAAAATTGCCAAGATTGGAGACCCCTGAGTTAGATGTACCGTTTGTTTTGTGCCTTTAATTTGCTCTCAGAACCACCTAAAGGCTTTTGCATTCTTTTCCTGTGGTCCATAATTCTTGCCTAACCTAAGACAGCAGTTCCAAACTACCACTAGTTCACATGTTCTATGCTTCCTCCAATGTACATAACAGTTTTCCAAGCATATGTAAACATTGGATAAAACACAAATGCATGATGTAGTAGATTTTTGCTGAGAGAGCAAGGTTCAAATTTCCTTTGGTGATTTTGATCTCTTAGCCCAATTTCACATGAGGATTGTAAGTAGAAAAGCTACACAGTGATCTTTAGTATAGCTAAAACAAAGACCATCTTTTCAGTGGCTTTGGCTAGAAATAACTCCAGTGTCTAAAGTAGATGAATTGATATTTTTGATATAATTCTATTGGTCAGCACTGATTTGAGAAAAGCAGAAAGGGAGATGAGCTACATTATGAGCCATTGGGAAATGGAAACAGTGTTAAAATGCCCTTACACTCTCAGTTGACCAGTAATAATCAAGTCCCTTCAATACATAAACATCACATATGGGTGTATAAATAATAAAGGAAGATATATTTAAACCCTACTGTTTCAGAGCATTAATGAAACCCAGGGTCGGGAATTCGGTTTTCTCACAAATTTGCTTTGAGTGTCCCTCACCACAAAGCAATTTTATGTCTGTGTCCTGGAAAATAAAGGATTTAGGGGCTGAGCGGTATAGAGCTCCGTCAGAGTAA